ACGTATGATGTTACGATCTCAGTCTGAACTACAATTATTGCCACCCAGGACCATAACTAAGAAAACTTTAGGTGATAGATCATTTATGGCATCTGCTCCTAAACTTTGGAACAGATTGCCATCAAATATAAGAGCAGTAAATGATCTTAATTGTTTTAAAACACTTCTTAAAACACATTTCTTTAGACAGGCATTTTCATGTTTGCGTTTATAGTTCGTTTTCATATTTTATTTTGCTTAGTCTTATTGTATAGCACATTAGATCATATCCACATGTATTTTGCGCTTTATAAGTAACAAATTATTATTATTATTATTATTATTATTATTATTGCAGTTTAATCTTTCGTTGCCTTCAGTGAGATGTAGACGCATAGCTCTGGACTTATTAGCTCATCTAAGGTCGGGCGGGGTACTTATCTGATAGCTACCTTGGACTTGCGGCTTAGACGTAACAATCTTCCGTGACTTAACTTGTCTCTCCACCACATCGCTCGTTTTACATAGGTGCCCTCCTTTCTACGCTCTTTTCTCTCTATCACTTTATTTACCCTTTCGTTGTAAATCTCCCGCTGATTCTCAGAGTCTCACGGTCAGACTCTCTTTTAAAATGATGTTCTTTGAAATGAAAGCCACATACAGTACAATTCGCTTTTTATCGTTTTTCACTTTTTTCACTTTAGTTCCCTCTCGGAAACATTTTGCTGATACACATATTCACACTTTAACAAATAGAAGGGTGACTATTCTCCTGCGCTGAGTTTTTTTTCTGGCTAAAAAACCTGCACTGCTCTCTGAACTTATTACAAGTCTCATCTATTTCAGCCCACAGGCATTTTGCTTGTGGTAGCTTTGAAATCTCATTGGCTCCCCGCGACGTTTTCCTGTATTCCAGTCGGCTGTTGTAATTTCTTTTTTTTTTTTTTTTTGGTTTTTTGACATCAACTGAAAAGCATTTCATTTCCTATTCTCAGAATCCATTGTCCTTTACAGGAATTAAACAATTAAAAAAATGGCTAATCAAACATTTATTAAACTTTTGACCCTAAGAGTGACAGGCATCTAATTTCTCTGAAAATTTCACCCCTCGATCAAACATTAAGGTCACCCAAATCAAGTAATTGACCATTGACTAAAGCTCTGGATTGTTAAACCAATTCTCCTCCTCGGCTCCTTAGAAAACATGGAGAACAGTGTGGAGAATATACATAGTAATTTATAGGGAGGAAAGGGTTTACTTGCAATAGACTGGCATCCCACCCAATGGGAGTTAGAGTCAGAGTACGGGAAAAATTACAAAGACATTTTAGACCAAAACAGCCTGAAAAATGTCTATCATCAATTATAGCTGACAAAAATTAGAAATAAACTTATTAGGTAAAAAGCCCACAGGAAATACGAGCATGGAAATATGCATGGAAAACATTTAACCCAAACTTTTTACAAGGAGAGAAATATTGGGTTTGGTTATTTTGACTTATTATATCTTACACATTTACATACACACATACACGCATACACACATACACTTTATTGAGCATCCCTAAAAGGGGCTTTTCAGCATCAATATTAAAATAAAATTAAATAGATAAATGAATAAATTAATTACAGCATTAATTGATAAAAACTATGTAAAAGCTATTTACAAGGATAAATAAATGAATAATTAATCACATCACTAATTGATAAAAATACTATGTAAAAACTATCTACTAGGATAACTAAATGATAACTATATACAATGATTATCATCTAACCTAGATGTTTCCATATCTTGTCTGCCTGTAGTGTATAGTAGCTCGAGTTGAGAATTTGTCCGATAAGTAGCTAGGTGACAGTCCTTGAAGACATTTATGCATCATAACTGCATCATTGACCACAAGTCTTTGTTTGACGTTTAGCCATCGAAGTTATCTCAGGCCTGCAGAGATATGATCATATTTGCGAAGCCCTAGGATAATCCTGGCTGCAAAATTTTGCCGGAACAAGCTGGAGCTTACGGATGTTTATCGCCGAAGTGTTGCTCCAAACTGAGGAGCATTTAAAAAGCCTGCTGGAAACAAAACTATTAAAAATCAATGAAAGCGTTTCCTTATCAAATAAATGCTTAATTCTATTGATCGGGATCAGTTTGTTGATACAACTAGCAACGGTTACCGTTTTACGTATGTGTTATGCATTCTTGCTGGAATTTTGCTTAAGCCGGGTGCTTTGTTAGAAGGCAAAATTAGGATAACATTCGCCACATCTTTCTCTGTTACAGGCTGGAATTCAAACTGCTCACTCTGCACAGGAACGTTAGAGGTTGCATAGACGTTTGGATCCAAAGTCCAAGTTTGGTCTTTTGGCCAACTGGTTTATTACAGCCGTTGGCCACATTCTCATGTCTATCATTAAACTGGTACGCTGCAAGATTTTTTCGGCAAACATCTATTAATCACCTTCCCTATGGAGTTTATGTTACCTTTGCTTTCCATAATCTGCGATTTCACATAGCTCCTTTCAGCCAAGCAGATTTCCCGTTTAACTTTCTGCCAAAAAAATTTATATGCATTCCAGTGCAGCTTATCGTTTGTTTTCATCGCACTCTTGTACCAGTTATCGCGTGTTTTCATTAGCTGCATGATTTCTGGCGTGACAACGGGTTTGGTTTCGCTTCCATTTATTCTCTTGATAGGAGCGTGTTCGTTGAGGACATCAAAAAACAGGATACTGTACACCTCCACTTGATCACTGACATCATCAAAAAAGTTTACAATGTGAAAAGGAACGAATTGAAGATCCTCTTGGAATTTTTGAGGGCTGTAGCTTCTATAGCTCCTAACAGACACATAAGAGGGTTTTCTCTGGGAATCTTTGAATTTAATAAGAAATAAATGAGGTTATGGACGCTCATGGGTGGGGTAAGCACCCCGCTTGATGTAACAAGCTCCTTGTTTGAAGTCATGATAACATCTATCAAATACTGGCTGTTCTCTGTGACTCTGGTTGGCAAGTTAATCAACTGAGTTAAATTAAATGTTGTACAAAACTCCAAAAGAGCCTTCGCTTCATGGTCGTTGCCAAGTAGGTTGCAGTTGAGATCACCAATGATAAAGATATCCCGGCCACTTAAAAGAGAGTCGATAAAAACCCGAGTAAGGTTGTCAAGGAAATTCACGGGAGTGCTAGGTGGTCGAAAGACAGTATTTAGTAGAAACGATTTACAAGATCTCGTTTGTATTTTAAGCCATAATTGCTGAAAGCCATCGTTGGCCACTGAAGAAAGGCTTTCGACGTGCACCACTTTCAAAGTATCTCTCTAATAAACGCAAAGTCCACCACCCGCTTTGTGAGGACCACGACCTTGTCTAAATATTGTATATCCTGATGTGTAAACAAAGGCGTCGGGAACCGAGGAATCCAGCCACGCTTCTGATATGGTAAAAATATTGAATCCAATCGATTGAATAGTATCTTTAATCAGAATGAAATTTTCTCTGAACTTCAAGGAACGCACATTATGATGAGCAATTTTGATGTTAAAGTGAGCATCCCTTGGGAGGTTAATTTTGGAAGCCACAGTCCTTGCGGTCGGAGAGCCACGAAGCGCTGTCAAGTTTGGTCCGGGCTGTGGATGTATGTCACCACCAATTAATATTCTAATAACAGAAGGGTTGAAGGAAGTAGTCCCATTACAAAAGTAAAGAAGACGTCTTCCCAAGAATCGAACCCAGACCAGTTGATAACATGCACTTGGTGAACCAAGATGGCGGACGAAAGCCAAACAACTGCGATGGCATAAGCTCGATGTACAGCTAAAAACAAACCATGGCTGCACACGAACAAATGCTCTAGCTTGGTAGTATCCATTGTGGTAAAATTTGTGGTTATCAAGGCCCGCCTGACCTAATAAAAAGGTAAAAATCAGAGAAAAGCCAGAGCGGTGCAAACCGTGATCGGTCGCCATGACGAGCGCCTTCTAATACTACACCTGTAGTATTATTTCTTAAAAGTATAATAACTATGGTACAATAATATTGGCAGAAAGCCTTTTCCCACATTTAGGCATAGCATTTTCAAAACGTTCTAAGAACCTACTTCTGTAGGTCCCATATACCCCTTTTACTCCCTGGATCGCAGTGTAAGTTCTCCTTACCATCCGCCATACATTCCTTTCAATGTTAGTTCGGAGAAGGTGTTGTTAAATTGAAGTTTGCCTTATCATAAGTTTGATGATTTTCTCAACTCTCATGACCTTTTGGTTTATGGATTTATTATTTCTTTGAAGAAAAATTACTCATTTGATTTCTCTTTAGAGAGCAAAGGTGAAGAGGATAATGAAAGATCTTTTAGCATCCAAATTAAACAAGAATTGCTTCACCTAAGACTGATCTATAAAACTCTAGACACCTTCTCAATATCAATCAAATGCAGTAGCTTAAAACTAATCAAGACTTGGTGGTGAGCATTTTCCTGCATATCGGCAGTTTTAATGTGTTCAATTTGAGAGTCCATTGCTGCTTTGGATTATTATCCTTTAGTCTGATAGGCCCCTGTGATAACCTTGTTGTTGGTTTTTATTTCTTTTAATTAGAAAGCCCTCGATGAAATCTGGCTTTGTTTCGCAGCCGTTGATGTTTTCGTGTAAACCTCATTAGGTTGCAGCACTAATAAAAACTTTTATGAATAAAAACTTGATCATAAAGAGCCACTAAGCTGGAAGTTTCTCATGGCTGGCTTCTCGCTGAATAAAACACACATTGACCCTAAAGCTGTCCCAAACCCCCTTCCCTCCTCCCCTCCCCTCCTGTTAACATGCCGTTTTACATTATTGAATGTTCAACGTGATATCTCAAATTTACCTATATAGAGTTAATAGAAAGAATCGCTAGAGATTGATCCAGGGTAACACAGAAGTTATACACGGACATAAAACTAATCGACAATTAGACTTATCATTAGGTTTATTTTGCGAAAACTGAGTCATATTTATTTTACCAAGATGTATCCCATGGCTTTTAGGTGTTTGTCTCCATTATCTGAATTGATAACGGCCTCGTTACCACACGTGTTTGAGGTGTCAGGGTACCCTTCTGTGCCAAATCCGATCCTTGAGTCGCACGAGCCACGAACGAACTATTCTTGTTTTCGCTAACAATACCAATTCTGGCTTTAGAATGCCCACTCCGACTACAAACGACATTAAACCCTTCTTTTTCGCAGTTGTACTGTAATGATCCTTGCGAACCAATCAACTCTTTCCACTTGTCACGACCCAGTAAGGTGGCGCGGTATTGCCCATCAGCGATCAGTGAAAACAGAGAGTCAGCTTGCTTGTGGATGACAATGAACCTGAGCTGTTGTCCGATCTTCATGCCGAGACAGATCTTGGGGAAGGCTGTGTTCCAGTAGGTGGGTACCTTTGATTCCTGTCCGTCGAACCCAGTCTCTCCCCCAGGAAGGTTGTATCCTTTATAATCACTCCAGTAAGGTGCATAATAGCGAAAAGTGGTCTGAAGAAGATTAAGATAATTCCGTCATTGTTTCTGTGATACTCATCACATAGACAAATTCAGTAATCCCTTAGATTTTTTCGCATTTTAAAATGACGTCTGTTTCTATTGTCAGTTGACATCATCATCATTATTATCATCATTGTGTTTTTAATTAGTTATGTAAGATTTATGGTAACGAAAATAAATGAACTGGTATTGTCGTGTCTGTCCTTAGAATCGTCATCTGAACCTGTGTTTATCTAAAAGTTAGCAGCATCTTTTTTTTTTTTTTTTTTTTCATAAATAGAAAAAAAAAGAACATAAAAATACAGATATTAGTCTGTAATTTTGTCTTCGCTAGACCCATTAATGTTTCGAGCTCAGAGCTATCTGTATTCAGTAATAAGTTCTGTATCGGAAACAACATGATTTCGAGTGCAATTTAGTGTAAGCACGAGTAAATTTTTCAAACAAAAATGCATGAACCTGAAGGGCGAGCGCGGTTTGTAGTCTTTGAAAAATTTAAACGTACTTATTATTACTAAACTGCACATGAAATCATGCTGTTAGTTGTTCATAATTTCTATGAAAAAATGTAGCACCGAAGGTCAAGACGGACGAAATTTTGGAAGCTCGCGCGCTATTCGTAATTTGCACTTGTGTTATAACTTTATACTCGTGTTACATGAAAAATGCATTCGTTTTCAGCCAATCAGAGGCGCGTAATTTTTTTTCAGGTATGTTATTAATAAAGAAACCAGAACGTGATGAAAGGTACCTTTCTGCTGTCAATCTTCATAACTGGCGTCTACCCTCAATCTCCACATCCAATATCCCCCATGTGGCAGAGGACGGAGACTGGTTTGGAGTCCAGACCGAGGGCAACAAGTCTACTGACATCAGATCTATCAAAAAAAAAATGATTTGATCGTTTTAATGTAATAAATCAATCCAGTCCCAGTATAGAAATCAACGGGTTTTTGCGCTTTCTAATGTGGAGATATTTCTCTGCCGCTAAAATGCCAGCCTTCTCTTTCTCGCTCCCTTACCATCTAATATGCGTCTAAACTTTTCTTTAGAATGTGTTGAAAGGAGTCAAATCTTGTTTTCAACAACATTGCACCAACTTTTGTTGCATATGTCTTTAAAACTGGGTTTCCACGCTGAGTATTGTCATTCATACACGAGGGGGAGGGGGAGGGAGGCACTCGAATGGTGAAGATGACATCAATTGGATAAAGAAAGAATCATGATGATATGATAAATTTTGAGCTGAAGAAACAGAAACGTTCTTAAAAAGAAACCAACCTGTAGACTTCATACAGTTCCTTGCAAGATTTTACGACTTAGAAGAAAAAAAGAAATCTTGTTGGTTTATTAAATCACTTTCTCATTTGCATCTAAATTCTCAGACTCCTTTCACACCAAAGCGTTTCAGGCTGTTTTATTAAATACTGTTTAATTTTTTGTTTCTTCATAGAAGGTGCTCAAAATGATGTGTGTCGACTTCAAACGTAGCACACTGAAAATTCCAGTTAGTGACCACTTGAAACCCATGGAAATTTCAGTTTTTCAGTTTTCTGTTTCTGATTCTCATTCAATTAAACTTGGTTTGACTCAACATGTTTTTATGTTATATTCAACTCTATGTAATCCATTTCGCACCGTCACGACATCTACGGACTTTTAAATCCTAATTCCTAGGTCAATTTTGTTTTATTTTGTGCATGCTAGAAACTGACATTTACGGACAGACGAGAGAGTTCAACGAATACTGCACTTCGCAAGATTGAACATTTCTTTCGGAAATCAAAATATTCGAAGAAAATAACAAACGCTGGCGGTTCTCTGAAAAGTAAGCCTTTTGAAAGCATCCGTAGCGCTTTTAAAACTTTTTCTGCACTGAAAAAAATCTAGTGCATTGAGGTCTTGAATATTGATCAAAATATATTGTAAGTATAGGCCACACATTTAGATAGTACTGATCGACTGGATGTCAATATTGCAAAGTACCGCAGGTGTTATTAAAAAGTGCGACCGCCAGTTTAATTCATCTTCGAGGAGCCGAAAGCACAAAATCGCGTCCCAGTAGTTTAATTTCGCACCTTTATTCAACATATTGACAGAAATAGATTACAAAAACAACTTACTCGGAGTATACATATCAATTACCTTTCTCACAATATTCCCCAGCGAAACTTTGTTCACAGAGACAGTCGTAAGAATTGTATTTGAAACTCGGGATTGTTTACATTTATATAACTATAGTGGTCATCCGTTTGGAGTGAGAACTCCAGCATATAAGATTGGGGTCAATTTCCACATCTTATTCCTACAGCATTTGCGCTCACCCGTGCGACGAACTATTTGACATTCTGCTGATCGTGTTTTGGCCGGCTTGTTATAAATGTAAAAAATTCTCTTAAAACAACTTTGAATATTTCGTGGAAAAGGTTGTGGTTATCCATTGTGGTGAATAACAATAAAAAGGCTAAGTTATATCTTATAAAGCATGATGCTCTGCTGTGATTGGTTGTTTTTCAATTTTTTTTCATTTTTCAACTTTCAATATATGATTAACATTACAGAGGAGTATCAGCATAGGAAAACTGTTCCTCGTGTTGCGCATGCACCCAAAGTAATGATGAAACCAGGCACAAATTAAGTCGCTTTTCCTCTATCTTTGATACAATCGACACCGACTTGATTTGTTCAACTACATTGGACATGTATGTTCAACGTCTGTGCTACCGCACAAAAAAAATTGATGCAATTTCAAGGAAAACGGCTTTCAACAAGCCGTAGCTTAAATTTTTGCATGAACCTACCCACCCCGCTTATTGACCAGCATCTCAATGTTCGGTAAAAACGAAATCGAAATGCTTTGAAAGACCGTTTAGAACATGGGTTCTAAATAGCTTTTAATCTGAGGTACATTAGGGAAAGCTGAGAGAATTCCTTCTAAGAGGGTCTCAATTAAGCTAACCTTTAAATGAAAACGGCAAAACAAATTAGCAGTTAAACGAAAGTACCGACAAATTTTAATCGTTAGTGGTAAAAAAAAAAGTTAATCGTAAATATATTTTAGCGCAACCGAAAAAATTAAATGATAACCGTGAAATGGACAAAAATTTAAATGTTTAGCGTAGAGAGCCATCACCCCAAGTTAGACTGGTTTAAAAAAAATGGTTGGATGCAAAAATTCTCAAATGAGTTTTTTTCAAATTCCTTTTCTAGCTTTCTCTTTGCTTTATTAAGCTTGCTGATTAATAAGGTCTTATATTGATCCAGGTCAAATATTGAATGAAGACAATGATGGAAAAATATATAGCTTATTTTCAGAAAATACGAGAATAAGAAAAGATTGAACGAATTTGAAACAGGGACGAGAATGGTGATGAAAAGTGACACTCAGGAGACAATGCAAACAAACTTGGTTCAAAACAGAGGCCCCAGGAAAGAGCATGGAAATGCGATTTACAAATACTTTTTCTCAACACTCACTGCTATGAAGATTTCCGGTGAAATGTTTGTACAATGTGACTGATGTAAGATTACACAAACTGATTGAAATTTACTTTACATTCAAACGGTATAGTTGATTGTATGAAGATTAAAAATAGGTCTTGTACACAAGATATCTAATCGCTTGAAGATGTAATCGTTTTGGAATAAATTGAGACATAGCAGATCTACACTCGAGTCTACACATTTCATGTGTTTCCATTGTCTTATCGAAAGTTTCTAGAAAGTTGGAAAAAAAATATCAGACTTTGTTCCTCGTCAGCTGGTTGTCAGTAACTTTACTTAAGATCATATGACATAATGAGAACAAGAACTCAGTAATTTTACAAAGGATCATACGATATGGCCAGAACGATAGGTGGCCGCTAGTATTTCACTAATGCTCACATCATCTACAATGAGATCGTTCACCCTCAGTACTTTCACTGGATTATTACAATTACTTATTTCCATTCTTTAAAAACACTTCTGCATTATTAATCCGTTGGATATTGTTCGTCGCCCTTCGAACAACCGAGACCTGATTTTTTGATCGCATAACCATTACTATTTAAAAACACTGGGCAAAATGCCAAATTTTAGTGCCAATTAAGTAAAATTAAACGAGTATTGAACCCAAAGACAAATTTAAGCCATGCTTTGAAGCTGTTATTTTGATTAACATTCAATTCACAAAGTGTACTTGCATTTGATATTTACATTTGAGATTCAAACTTTTCATACAACATTCAAATTCGAGATTTACAGTCAGGATTGTATCTGCAGGATTTTCATTGGAGACTTGCATTGAGAATTTATTATGTTGACTTAAATTCGCGAGTGTTGTGAAGCTTTAAAGAGCAAGGAAGTCTTGTAAAATTCTCTTAGTTTCTTCGAATTCCAGTTGATGTATATCCCTGGTATATGCATATGGAAATTAGCGATGGATCTCTGCCCTTTAATAACCTAGGGGAGTATTGCGAGTTTAATGAGTTTCTCCACATTGCTCTTTCAGTCAAGCCAACTGAAATCTGGTCGCATCATTTATCATATCAGTTGTCTAGAAGCAGAATCCTATTGTAATCATTTTCACAACGCACTCTTCCTGTTACAATTTATCTGAGTTTAGCACAGACGGGTTATGTAATTATTTAGGAATTTGGAAACACTAGTAATCACTCTAAGAAAAATAGCGGCATTCTAAGTTTTAAAAAAAGTGTCGTCAGGACGTGTAAGGTGCTCAAGACAACTGCGTGAACTTCAGGGACCGCATGGATAAGAGTGCTGTATTTGCTGTGCAATACTAATTGCTACTATTTAGTTGTGTCTATTATTTGAGACGTTATCCTGACATGGGAAAATATGATTTTATTTAGAATTCGTAACTATTAATAGATCGAAAACATGCAAGACCTCTTGTAAACGCTGGAATTCATTAGCAAATTTCTCTAGACGCGTTCAGTGTCCTTTATTCTGTTCATATCTCCCCTCTAACTTGCTCTGCTTTAAAAAAAATGGATTCCATGTTACCGTGCACCTTTTCAATAACAAATCATAGCATGCACTACACAAGGTGCAGCTGAGTGAATCACTGATGTTTCATTAAATCTACCATTGAATGGACCCACGACGACTTTGAATCGACTTTTTCTATGTAATAAAGAAGCAAAAATGGTCAGTGGTGACGCTATCTATTCGTCTGTCTTCCAGTAGATCACTAGTAAGAAGTAATAAACTACATTTTGTAAACTTCTTCATGAATAGTGTGACTAGAAAAATTGTCACCATCTGCTTAATATCATGTTTGACTGGCCCACTTGCTAGGAACCAACACTTTCATGCAACGAGACAAACATACTTTCGATGATTCTTTCATTTTTTATTTTTGTTTCGCGACAACACTTCAGCTGAAAATCATTGCAAGAACAAAGACCCTTATCAAAATGATGGTACCCACACAGCTAACTGTTTTCTTTATCCTACTGTTTTTGCGGGTTTGAGGTACTCAACAGGTGATCGTTAAACCTTTTTGTCGATTTCTTGAGACCTTCCATTCAGCAACAAAAATAAAACTCTGTATTTATAGGAAGCCAAACTAGTCTGGTTCTTATGGAAACATGTGCCAGCATTCAATTCCTTAAGTCAGCAGATTTAAAAGTCATACCTTTTGACCCCTAAGACCAACATCACTAATTCTTCAAGGTCATGCAAAGAAACAAAATGACTCCCAATAAGGGAGCTCTTTTAAAACAAATTCTCCATGCCAGGACTATTTAGTTTGCAGAGAACAACATG